CGATTTATATCTTTTCCCGTGTTTCCTGGTAGCACTTTCGGTGTACTTTCGAGTATTTATTGATCATATATTATAATCACCCCCCACTATAAACCCGTGAAATCTATTTCGCAGTACTTAGCTTATTTTGTTTAGTTTTTACTTTTTGGATTCTTAACCGGCTACACGATTCTTCGATTCGTACAATCTATAATCCTTAGGCGGAGGTAACGAGTTTTCGTCTTTAAATCCGTATTCTTTTCATTTTCCTTGTCGAGTAAACTAGACCGTTAAACATTAGGTAGTCTTTAACTATTTATTCAATATAATAAACATGGTAGTCGATAATAACCTTAAAAACGGCGTCGTTTCGTTTTTTTTTTCTTTCCTAGTTAGTTTAGTCGAGGAGTTTTATTTCTCGACGCGGTATTAAATGGTAATAATTCTCTGTTTAAATTGTTTCCTACGTTTAGTAATCTATCTACCCGTCTGTCTTCCTATTTTGTTACCGTTATAGCTGCAGCCCGTTGTTTGTTGCTGTTGTACCCGTAGTTGCTCTCGCATCCTCGCAAACGATTCGTTCACACATTCGCTCTGTCCATTCTCCTTTTTTTTCTTGCAAAACACCGAATTAAATTGCCTCTCGTTCGTTCTCACCCTTTCTCCCACTCTTTCATTCTCTTTCTTTCTCTGTTTGTCCCCCCCAAAAAACTGATCTCATTCTCTCTCACTGTCGGTTGATTTAATTAAACGCTACGCGTTTCTCCTTATAAACTTAAGTTACGCTGATAACGCGTTTGCTACTCTGTAGCCTCGAGAAGCTGTAGATCATAGACATTTACTTCGAGAACAGTAAAGCCATTACTCGTTAATCCGTGATCGTTAATTAATTAATTAATTAATTACAATAGAAAATAATAACAACAACAGTAGAGTTCCTCGTTTAAATGGTACTAGTCGTAAATAGTAGTAAATAGTTTGATAACTCGTAGCAGTACTTTGACACTTTTCATTTATCTTTAATAGTTTCTCTCTCTTTCCTTCTCTATCCTTCCCCCATTTTGTCTCTTCGCGTTTTATAACCCTAAGCCTAAAGTGACACGACAATATTTCCAAATCGATGTATCGTTCACAGGAGAAAAAGCAGAGGCGTTTCCCGAACGCGTTACTGATTCAAATTTTTTTTTTATCTAATTTCCATATGCGAACCCCCGCGTTGATCGTTCATCGGGGAAGTTCGATCGAAGGGTTCGATCCTACGCGGAAAAACGATTCCTCCTCTCTCTCTTTCTGCGCGTGAATCTGTTTTCCTTAGAAGGGCAGTGGTCGTTGGACGTATTTTACTCAGCGGAACGTACGTGTTAACAATTAAAAGTAAGCTAAGAGTACCGTTTAAAATTACAAAATTAGAACTTACTGTGTAGGATCGATTTACAAACGTATACTGTACAATTTATTTCATGATTTGCCTTACATTTCCGTGGTTTCAATATTCTTGTCGTTTTCATCCGAGAACGTCAGTCTTATTAGGACCGTTTCCATGAAGTGGCGGGACTCGACATGTACTTGGAATGAGCAAAGTGAATAATTGATCTCAGCCTTTCGCGGAACAACTAATCGTAAACCCTTAATTCAGTCGTGGCTCGGGATCATTTATACGTCGAACTAATTTAAAATTAACGCCTTAGCAAATAAAATCTTAAGGAATCCCTTAATTGTGGACTACTTGGTTAATCGAAAATTCGTTCCAACCACCAACCGGCCCTGATTAAAATACGTGATCGCCGATTTTTCTTCGAAATCTCATCGCGATACTTTTCTTCTCTACGTACGTATATGTATAAGATGCACATCGAAATATTAAATATTATACGTTAAAGTACAAACAGTTATCTATAGTAAAGATTAGGTGCATGCGCGTTTACAGGACTCGTCGACTCCTTATACAGAGTGTCTCAGCGTCGTCGAGTACAATTTCAGCGACACATTCAACGGACGTAACACAGAAATGAAAAAAAAAAGTATCATATAAATCTAGATACAATCTCTATAGTTCTATAAACGTTTTCTTTCTCGATATTCCAGTGAGTTAAATTCATCCTTGAAATCGTGACCACTAATAATGAAACGCCCTGTATAGCTTATATCTCCCGAATCTCTATCCATCGTGTACAATTATAATATAATATATGTATATACTATATACGTCTCTAATAAGAATAAAGTGACTTCTAATTGAGTTCTTCAAGCGAATGCTTGTATACAAATCCCGGATATACTCTATAACTCCCATTGTTCACGGACTTCCGAGTGTCTACGATAAAAAACAAACAAACAAACAAACAAACAAACAAAAATCGAGGAGAAACAGACACGTCGTTCGTTGTCGTCACATTTGCAATTTTCGTATTCTCGATAAACGATCGACAAAACCATTTTGGTAGAGTCGCGCGAAAGTCGCGTTCGTCGTCGCGATTTTTATATGCAAAAGGATGGTGAGAAACTTATATTCGTAATACCGTTCGATGGAAAGATCTATACTGTTTGCGGCCGCGTGCGTGCGTGTATTTGTGTGTATTAGAACCCTGAAAAACGGTCGATCGTTTAATTCGGGGCAATTAACCATTACTTTAAATCCCTTAATTAATTAATATCCGTTTAATAACGATCTAATATGTTTTGTTATCTCTCTGATCTGGACGTACCGTCTAATATTAACCAGTAGATTTCTATACAAAGAGTAAAAGTATCGATTTAAGGCTCGTTTATGGTTCTTTCTTATCCGAAACTCTACCATCCCCTCGGTCCGCGCTATATCATCCCACCCAACCCGGTTGCGCCCCAATTATCTTTCGAACCCCATTTTTTCTTTCGGTTACAGTCGCTTCTCCTACGTCTTGTACTTCTGCCCCGATATCTCTACGTAATTACGATTTACAGTTAACTAGTTACTTAATTGAAAAACGTTTCTTTCGGGTCCCGAATTTTTCTTAGTGGCTGACTTACTTAAGAGAACGGTCCTAATCGCGTGAGTTACTAGAGTGGGGAATATATATCTCGACAAAGGGCGTCGTGTTCAAAGAATTTTCGTCGCGCGTAAATCATCGTGTTTCTCTAAACGTGGTAAAGTGGAAACAGGAGGAGGGGGTGGGGGGCAGAGGAGGTTTCTTAATCGTTTAAAATCTCAGTCTGAAAAAACGTCTGTCTTTGATCCTTAACCCGTAACATCGGTCTCTCAGACAACGCGCGTTATTCATTCTCTCGGATTTTTTTACGTTCCCGCGCGTCCACACATGATTGGATTTTCACGGTGCCTTCAAAAGGGAAGAGAACGGAAAAATTAACGCGCGTCCGCCCCACTGCCGCGTGATCTGAGAAATTGACGTTAAGGCGTTCAAAGAAACGACTTGACCGACGGAAAATGGTTTCGATCGTACAAAACGGCTAGGCTATTTAGTGTTTCTTTTGATTACGTTCGTGTAACTCACGGTCGCAGAAGTAGAAAAGGGTTGGTTTTGCTTCATTGGATGCGAACGCACTACATTCCTGTCTCTCTTTCTCTCACTCTCACTCTCTCTTTTTCTGCGCTTAACTATTCAAGAGGGTGTCCCGCATCTGATGGTACAACCTTGAAGGTGCTGATTCTACGTGAAAACATAAGAAAAAAAAAGGATACAGAATAAAATTTCATCGTAACGTACTTTCTAAGATAATTGAGTTTAAATTTTGAGTGGAGTGACGCTTATAGAAGACCCAATAACGAAATAGGTTTCATATCGTGAAGTTCGAGAAAATTTGTATTCTATACTTTCGATGTATTTTTGTTTTTCATGTGGAATGACCATCCTTTACAGTTGTCCCACCGGTTCACGGGGGACACCCTGTATATTGCGTGGAAAAACCTCGTAACGTTATCCCTTAGCGGTTAATCTTTATCTTTAGAGGAATAACATTGTAATTAGTTGTGTAACACGTAAATACAACGTAACGCGTGTTTCTTTTTTTTTATATAGTATATTACACCCGCGGGGGAAAAAGTAGAAATCGTCGTGGACGATGATCGATATTAGCTAACGAGCGAAGAGGACTTATTATCCGCGAAAGGACCGACGTCTGGTTAGGAACTCCAAGAGAACAAATAAGAAGCAACTGTTGCCTCGCTGAGAGCGACACGGTATATAATATAATCATTAATCACAATGAGGTATTTATATATATATTCGAGAAATGCTTACGAACGATATTTAATTCTTTGTTTAATAAATAATTATCAGGTCGTTTCCCTCTCTGTCGCGTTCCCTTTTAAATTCTAAGTGTGTATCGTAAGTGGTGATGATGCCTGGCAAGTAGAATCGTATCCATAAAAATAGTAGATTAAAGAAATTGCTAGCAGCTTTCCCACGATACCGGAAATCTTTCGCGTCCGATTACTCTCCAAAGTTTCGCTGATTTTTTTATCGTTCGAATCGAGCTAAAAGAATTCCTGAATTATATGATTATCCTATTCTCTCTGCTAACAATTCGAGACTTATCAACCACGTTTTTGTTGTTTTTATTTTCTACGACTACTCTTATCTGTCGAAACTAATTATCGTGACACTCGTAACAGGTAAAATAAACTGGTTACGTAGCGAACGCGACGATCGCGCGAATCACACGCGGTAAACGCGGCTGCAAACGTGACGACGTCCATGGTACATCAGTGTTGTGTTTGTGTACGTGTGTGTATGCATATGTATGCCCGTGTGTAATTTTGTCGTTAGATGCGCCGTTGTCATAAACGTGCTACCAGTCTCGACAATTCGACGTACGAACGGTAAAGCAAGAAAAATGGAAACTACTCAAGCGATACAACGACCAAAACAATTCGAAGACTCTCTACAGGTGATGATACAAATCGCTGCAAAATGTATTGTCGTGATTTTCAAGGAGGAAAAAAAAAGAGAAAAAGTAGAGCAGCAGCGATAGCGATGTCTACTACAAAAATAGCGACGGTAATGAAATATATAGGTTGAAAATTGACGCCAATCTGTGTTGCACACGATATTATAGCATTTGCCCAAATTTTGCGTCCGCCGAGTCTGAATATCGCGTTTCGATAACGCTCGCGATGATTACCCCATTCATCATCGATTCATGTATATACGTACACGTATACACGTGTCGGTAGTATCGGAACGAGCCTATCCTATACGACGATACAACGTATTAATCGAAATTTATCTGTTAAATTAGATTCAGTCTCCAAGGAACAGTGTGTATCGAATTACCTATGAGCCCTACGACTATCGCTAAAAACCGAAATAGGATTGATTAAGTTGTACCTAAACTGGATATTACATCATCTATTTTAGTCGAATAATAGGATCATCTTATTGTTTCCCTAATGAAAGGAACCTAATTGATTTACTCTCCCTGCACAATACGTTTTCTTTCCTTGTTCTACACCTTTTTACCCACTCCCCTTTCATGCTCGTTTCTCTACGCTAACGACCACTCTATTTATTTTCCCATTAATCCGCCCCGTTAAAACGATGCTTCTCGCATTACGTATATACTACCACCCCCCCCCCCAGCCCTCTACTGATCACCACTTTTACATCCCCTGCGCTAGCCTATTTCTCGTTCCTCGCAATGGATAAGAAATAAAACATATTGGTGATATATGTGTGTGTACGGAGAAGTGTATATACATATATATGTGTATATGATATACATATACGTATATATGTCGACATACACGCGTGCACAATATGATCGTGCATGCCAAACAAAAAATGTACATTCCTCTTTTTTCTCGTATAACATCTATTCTCGTAAAAAAAAAAAATAATAACGTACGCCCCTATATCGATATATTTTCTCCTTCTGCTTTTTTTTTGTTAAAGGTATACATTTACACGAGCAGACATACGAGTGCGTGTACATACATATATGTTGCAATGAATAATATAGATACATGATAGAATAGCATGTAAACATGTGTTCTCTCTCAACATCTCCTATCTCTGTGTGTAATAATAATAGTAATAATATTAATCGTAATAATAATAATAATAATCATAATCATCGTTCATTAAATCGTTACTATCAGTTAACGCGCATAATATTATATAATGTTCATCGCGACAAAAAATCCTCTCTCTCTCGCGCGCGCTCTTTCTCTCTCTGTCTCTCTCGCGTTCTTCCTTTCGTATCTCTCTCGTAAATAATGTACCGCTCTGAATTTTTTAATCTCTCGTGATTAACTCCTACCGTTTTAAATCCTTTTCCCTCTTATCCCACTCCACTCTTTATCCTAGCCGGTAGTATTTATTCTCTCTCTCTTTCTCTCTCTCTCTCTCTCTCTCTCTCTCTCTCTCTCTTTCTTTCTTTAAATCTCTCTCTCTCTCTCTCTCTCTCTCTCTCTCGCTCTCTTTCGACTCTACAACGTTTTATCTCGACTGTTCCTTAAGGGAAGAACCTTAAGAGCAGAGACAATGCGCTTTGGCCTGGTACACGTTTTACTGCTACTGTGCTGACAGCGGGGTGTACGACTTTGTCCGGCTCGGATCTCGAACATTTCCATCGAATCGTCGCCTCTCTGGAGTATAAAGCCTTCGTATAGTTATTCATGGTCTTAACCCATTGATCAACCGAGGCATCGACCCCAGTTTTTCTTTTATTTTTCTTTGACTTTTGTTATTTTTTTTTGTTTTTAGTTTTTTTTTCGTGTCGTGTCGAAAAGTCGGACACCCCTCTTGGTACAGAGAGTTTTTCTATAATCTGGGGCACTGGGAATAAGACGGACAGAAAGCGTGCGAGCGTAAAGATCCCTTAAAATGTATCCCCTTAAATTGTCTGAGGTAAAAACACGATGAACGTTGGATACACGTTCTTCCATTATTATTATTATTTCATTTTTATCTCGTCGTCGTTTCGTAGCCGCATTGGCCCCGGCCGACTGATCCATCCACCTTCTATGGATGGTGTCGGCCAAAAAAAAACCACGGCCGATGCGACCGAATTCTTACTAACGCAATAATAATATCATCGTTTAACTTTTTTCCCCGTTTTAGTTATTTCTTTCCTATTTTCCGTTAATCTTCGTTCCTCGTTAACTATTTATATCGTTCCACTATTAATATTCTAATCGTTCAGCTCGTAGGGGGGCACGATCTTACCAATATAATGCTAAACGTTACAAGTATACAGGTCATGTTATTACAGTTAACAATTTTTCATTTATTATCGTTACAATCGTCGACTTCATTAGAACTTTTTTAACCTCTCTTCATTTTTTATCTTCTCGTTTAACGTTTACTTTTACCTTATACTTCGCACTAAAAAATATTGATAAAAAGTAGATGGATCGTACGATCGATTTTCTCGGTTCGTTTTGATTGCGAGACAAAGCATTCCAAAACTGTAGGAATTCCATTCACTTAAATCGCGAAATAATCGTTTCTATTCGGGTTCCCCTTATTAAGGTTTCGTATCGTTTTATCCACGGCTTCGGTTCTCGAGCTACACCTTACGCGAATCAATCTTGTTTTCCCCATTAACTATTGTAACTTGAATTATCTATTTTTCATATTTTTTTAGCGGCATTCTTGTTCTATTCGATCGTCCCTTCGACCCGTTAAAGCACTCACGGTTTCGTCAAGACCTTCTAATTTCTCTTTCCCCGTTTTACATTCAACACCCTACCCCCCCCCCCAATGGGTGGTGTGTGTACATGTATCGATATTCTTTTGCGCACAGAACGTGTCGTGTTCAAGTGGTTATAAACCTTTCACTTACACGTCGATATAAGTTCTCTTTCTCTCACACTTATAGCACAGGGCACTTAACATAAACGTACATTTAGAATTTTCCGTCTTATGTAAAACACACGTGGTATTTATGTTATTTTTTACTTGTTCTCATTAAATCTCTACAGTTCCATTTTCGCTACTATAATAAGATTCATTTATTAATTCTTTTATTTTCTGCTAACACGATCACGTGTAATTAGAATGTAATTCCTTAAATGTTCCTACGTAAACGTAATTTAGAATATTCTCGGTGTTAAGTGTGGATGTGTGTGTGTATGTACGCGAGAGTCTCCGGTAAATGCATATACACATATGACAAACATTCCCTTTCTAGCCGTTTAGTCCGTCTTTTTTTTTTCTTGACGCTTTAAATCGCGTTGTTCCTCTTTTCCATGCAATTCAATCTCACCACCTGTGTTCTTATCGGTGACGACAATGTCTCTCTTATCGTTGGACTTTAACTGCGATCAAACAAGAGTTTTTTCGGGGTCAGTTTATACTTTAATCGACGTTTTGTGCCCGATGACGATGAACATTAATTAGCAACAACTCGAACGGTTAAGAATTCTCGGGCCGTTAATCGAACGCAACGAAACCGATGGCAAATAAATTGGCTGAGGCAGTGGTATTTTCACTTATCACCGATACAGAGATTTGTGCTTTGATGGATTCCTTTTATTTTTTTTTTCGAAATCTATTAAAACTGTTCGTTTCCGTCTTGCAAAAGATCTGTATCCTGAACGTTATTCCTTACACCTTGGAAAAATGCCTACATGTGATTCAATAAAGCTTCGACTCTGATTTTGGTTTTTCGCCGCGAACAAACAAGAAGGGGAAAAAATGCGAAT